CCCGGTTCTGAGAAACACTGGAGGACCTTTTGGACGCCATTTTTCTCGTTTTTTTTGCGTTTGTTGGATCTGGACCAATTTTAGTTCAAATTCCCACCATGAGCAAGCACTAGGCGACACAGGCAAGGAAAAACTTCCTTTTAACAGGCAGAAACCTGGAGCAGAACCATGGCTCAGGGTGGGCGGCCATCTGCCTCGGCCGATGACAACCCTAAATGGGTTTATTTTTTTAATAAAAAGACAGTAAAAAGCTAAAAAAATAGACTTTGACTGAAAAAAAGGGGCAGAGTCAGAGGGAGGAGCCAGCACAAAACACAGAAAAACGAGCTTAAACACGTTGTTTCCCCGAAATGATCAAGAATGAATCAAATAAAAGAGGGAAAATTTGTTATTTTTTTATACAATTTGATGCAAACAAAAGCCAGGTGTACATAATACGATTTTTTGCCGCTTTTGGACGCCATTTTTAACTCCGTTACTTGGATCCGGACCAGTTTCTTTGGTTCGGATCTAAAATGTCGTCTTTTATTGGTGGAATTAGTCCAGCTGGACCTCTTTGAGGTCTCAGTATCAATGAACTGTGTCTTAATTTCCAGTTTCAGTAATTTATTGGAGTTTTTTTTGTTTTTTTTACCATTTTCTTTCTTAAATTTGGATTAGGGTTTCAGCTCCCTGTGAAGAGCAGATGGAAACCGAACCGGTCTGAGTTTCCCGTCACCCTGACAACCCTAAATCGGTTTATGTTTTAAAAAAAGACAGAAAAAAGGGGCGGAGTCAGACCACACCGGCTCAAACTGAGAGCTACCCCAAAATGATCAAGAATGAATCAAATAAATGAGGGAAAAAGTCTTATTTTTTTATCCAATTCAATGTAAACTAAAGCCGGGCGAACACTGTGGGATTTCTGCCCCCTTTTGGACACCATTTTTAACTCCGTTTGAGCTCCCTGACGACCCTAAATTTTTTTTTTTTTTTTTTAATACAATAAAAATAAACTGAAATATTTCTAATGTTGTAAAATGTATTTTTGAGTGATCGCTTTTGAGATCAGTCTTATTTAACTGGAGCTTTTTAACCTGTTTAGTCTTTTTTGACATGTTTGGATTCATCTCAGCTCTTATGTGAAAAAAGCTGATGTGTTTTGCCTTTAAAGGAGAAAAAAGGTGTAAATTGGGATGGAAATGCTCATTTATATTAAATAAAACTACCTGAACACTGAGAGGTGTAATAAAAGCTGCATTATTAGATTATTATTAGATTATTAAAAACCCACAAACAGAACAAATCTTTCCACTGGCTTGTTTTATACTTAAAAAATATAAAAGCATAAGGAAACCTTCCCTCGACGACCGTTTTTCTGCCTCCAGTGTTAAAAAGAAGATTTTTAAATAGACTTTTGCTGTCAGTCACTGGAGACGCTCTTTGATTCCAGGAAAACGTCCGAAGAGTCGACGGGAGAAACGACATTTCCTCTGAAATCAAGCAAAAAAAACAACTAAAGTTATTTTTAAAAAAAGAAATTCAACATTTTTAAGCCTTGTTTCCACCAGACTTCGTTCTCTAGGACTTTAACGGATCAAATATATAAAATATATAAATCAAATATATAAAATATGAAAATTAAATAAAGAACAAATAAGCTATGACGTTGAAGTCTTAGAAATAATACAGTATATGTAAAAACTAAAAATTAAATAAATAAAAAAAGCAATGACATCGGGGTTAGAAAAATATATATAAAATATAGGAATTGAATAAAAATAAATAAGCTATGACGTCGAAGTCATAGAAAAAACATATAAAATATCAAAATGAAATGAAAATAAATAAGCCATGACGTCGAAGTCACAGAAAAAAGTAAATTGAATAAAAATAAATAAGCTATGACATCGAAGTCATAGAAAAAAATATATAAAATATGAAAATTAAATAAAAATAAATAAGCTTTGATGTCAAAGTCATAGAAATAATATATATAAAGCTAAAAATCTCATTTTAAAAAAGCTAT